CTTTCTGTTGAGCGGTTGCCCCATATTTCCTCCTCTATTCTCCATCGCCAGGTACATTTCTTATCAAAATGCACTGTGGTCTTAGCCCTCGTTCCAATTTCATATGACCACCTCTCCTCCCTACCCTGGTCTCCATCTCCTTCTGATTCAATGAGCCCCAGATATGAGTGCCTTTATCCAAAAGCTTTTACATTCATCTAAGAATTTATACCATCATTTGTCATTCTCCTTCACCTATTCTTCTTCCCTCAATGCCCTCCAGGAATAGGGGTGATGAGGATACAGTGCTATGAGGAAGAAACTGTTTAAGGCCAGTTAGTTAGGAAATGGGACTACTTTACGAGTAAAAATTGAACCAAAATGAAGGGTATCTATTTTTATCGCAGTCTCTTTTCGTTCCATAGAATTGGTCTGACCTCGTTTTCGCAGCTTTGTCGTGCCATCAGGGCGAACTCGAAAAAGGTACCTTTTTCGTCGCATTCTGTCATACTGGCCATCGTAGTTTCCAGCACCATGCCGTCCTTCATCACTTTAGACGAAATAGGGTCAATAAATCTCATATTACTGATTTACTAGTAGTCCCGAAACTCTGCTCTAATACGAAGATAAGTGACGTTGTCAATTCTTATAGCAAATATACGTTTGCTTCATCGGCACTCCCACCAAAGGATGTGATATAACAAAAAGACCTGACCTTCCTTGAAATTCACTTATGCCCTGTGACTCAAGGCTACTCGTGGCAGTGTCGCCGAGGGGTTAGCGTGTCAAGCTCCCATTCTGCACTGTCGTGGTTCGACTCCCGCTGAGGGTGTTGATAAGACCGATGCAAGGTCGAAACTGCAGTCCACTGGTGCCTGGATGAGAACAACTTTTGGGAAACCAAAATATGTGAAATTGAATGGAAACGTCAGCTCAACTCATATCATTATGGGAAAATTCTACTACCAGTCTTTCATCACCTTAGACGAAATAGGGTGAATACATCTCATATTACATTCCCAGAAGTTTAACTGGCATCGTAACCGGCATTGCCAAAGAGCTTTTTCCTTTTCAAAGCCAAGCTACATGACATAAAATGAGGTCAATTTCTTGACTAACTTTTTGCTGAACGGCTGCTAATATCGAAACCTACTCATTATGATTATAAGCAACGTGGTTGATTGTGTTGACAAAATAAAAGTCGTTGTACTGCAGCCGGTTGGATCTTATAGGATATTCATGGACTGCGTCAACATGAATATCCTATAAGATCCAACCGGCTGCAGTACAACGAGTTTCATCCGTCCTCATCTGGTGAGATCGACCAACGAATATCTTTATGCACTTTCATACGAAATGAAGGTCCCCCTAACAATGTTATCTCAGGAGATTCTTCGAAACCCAGTCAATCTTTCCTCTTATCCTAGCACATCCACCTATCCCATATCTTCTTATCTTATTTCTTCTCTAGCCCAACTTTAAGTTTGTTTGAAGATGTAAAGACCAAGATGTTGTGGCCTCGAGTATGGTCGCAGTCTCCTTTAGACTTATAGAAGTGGGTTGACCTCGTTGTCGCAACTTGGTCTTGTGTTTAGGAAGACTATGTAGAACACGAGTTCGTATCTTGGTGCGAAGAATGGCAAGGCTCACTGATGATGACGACTAT